CTTGACTTGCATGAGGAAAATATCGCGATTGTGGTGATCAGGGAGGAATGAGTGAGATCCATTTCATGCAAGCAATAATCTGTCTCCAAGGGTGCTCATTGATAAAACATCTACCACTCCCTAGTGTATTAGTCCAATTAATTTTGATAAATGATATACACGAAGTTGGTAGAAGCTCACTTGACCCGGTGTGACCACTGATAGCAAACTTTGCAGATGCGCAGAAGTTGAAGAATTGTTTGCACACAAGCAGGTCCTTCGGGCCAAACCGAAGCAAAAAACAAGATTATGCCTTTTTACCTACTAATTCTTTCTTTCTTCAATTCCGCATCACTCCAAGGGACACATTAACGGCACACAGGTGCGAAATCAGAATTTGTGGCCTATATTCTTCTACTATTGGCCATTGAAATTGATAGGTAGAAATGTTATTCGAGAACTCCCAATTGTCCAATTTATGTTTTTTCCTTATTTAATTTATTTATTTAAAGATAAAATCCGTGTATTGCTGTGGAGAGAAAAGGTATCCTTTTTCTTTTAAGCGTACTTTTTGAAAAATACTGCCTTTGTTCTATTCGTGGCCATCTAGGAGGAGTTTGAGGCATGATTTGGCTTGTCGACATTATTGTTGTCTGGGATAATTTGTAAATTTCAGTCCAGCGATTTCAATGTCAGGCTTTCGCTTTTTTATTTCAACTTAGTGGTGCAAAATACGAAGTGGCTCTGGGAGAAAGAAAAGGAAGAACTCCGTCTAAAGAACAGATTGGATTCATCTATCGGTAACTTTTATGTAGCTAGCTCTGATGATGTTGAGTTCACCAAAAAAATTATGTGGGCATACCTTAACATCCAAACGTATGAGAGTATTTCAATGCATATTATTTTTCCAGATGATTCAAATTCTTGTTTATTTCCCTATATGCATGTGCATAGGGGCATAAGTACATACTATTTGAAGCAGATTTTAGATGCATGGTAAAAATTCTGCAAATGTAGGGTCGGTTCTCCCTGATCAGTACAAATTGCCTACTGTTTGGGGAATCAGCTCTTCCACTGACAGCATGTGCTTAACATCTACCTATAGAGGATTTACCCTATAATTCCATCCAACCTAGGCTATTTGCCTAAGACGCGCTCTCCTAAAGCAAAAGTTGCCAGATTCTAGGCCAGGGCAATTGTCTTCTTCACAAACCATTAGCTTATCATTCTTTAGCGATGCCAACATGGATTCACAATGAACTGTTTTATTCTCCCTAGAACTGATAATTTTACTGTAACTGGTCCTGCCTCAATGAAGACTAGAATGAAGGATTTTGAACGACCACCAGACTGCTTTTCCCTGACCCTTAAAAAGGTACGTTTGGACGCGTCTGCTAAATTTCCGCTGCTATGATTTTATGCAAGGAATGCTCTTATGCGAATTGTACAGACAAAAGCTGTCCCTGCACAGCTCCCAGTGCGTGTATTTTGCTGCAGCGACTCGTGCCTTTCCTCGAAATGAAAGAAAACAGCATGTTGAAAGAGATAACGTATTGACGACGCAGAGAAGTGCTGGAAGGCTACTGGATCGGCTTGGTGGTTATACAGCCTAGCAGGTGAATAATGGTGGGGCCATAAGTGCGCAATTAGCTAAAACGAAGAGCTAGATATTTGATCAAAGCATCACAGGGCCCACTTCACCCATTGTACGTCATTGCCAGCACTCTCCATTGTCAACTCTTCGTGTCAGTCATCACATCAAAGTCGGCACAGCTAGAAGGACGCCCACAAACCAATTCCATTTGCAGGTGCATCGCAGCAACAGGTCTCGAAATAATGACTCCTTTCGAGACACAGCTAAGATGTGTAATAACTTGTCATCTGAAGCAGTGTCTTTGCCTATCCACAATGACGGACAGCGATGTAACATTGGTAATCAAGAGGGCCCCAAACCACCAATTTCATTAACATCTTCTAAATGGTGACATGTACAGTAGAACTTTGTAAGCCCTGAAATCTCTGCCAATTTGCAAATTTCTTAACTCTCATTATCGAGTGACAATGGATTAAGTGACTTTTCGTTTCAGCATAAAAATAATGATTCGTGGTCTCTGGGTTGGGTTAGGGTAAAACCACCTTTCTGAGACAACTGTACACTAAATGAGCAGGGCAGGTGGCATTAAAAGTCCAATCATTTGAAGAAATTTAGTAAGACCAAGAGACAGCTGACAGTCTGTACTTTTTCTTCTAGTCTGGAGTAAAAGTGGGATATCTGGCAGTTCATATCTCTCCGAAATCTGTCTTTAATGAAATGGAAGCTCTCTACGATGTTACAAGTGAGTGTGAGACATACGCAGGAACTTCGGTAAGATCACTTTCATTGTTGTATGCATGGGCAAGATTTGTTTTTAAATTAAACGAAAACTACGACTTTTGTGCATTTGGTCATTCCAGGGAAAATTTTGCTTCTTTTCAACTTGAATAGAGACCTGCTTTCATGTGTGTGCAGCTAAAGTACCCACAAGGACTACTGCTGCACTCAATCATCTCTGAGCAGGTAGAGGCATCTTAGTAGAGGTCTGTTACCACAAATTGGCAAAAGAACTACGAAATTATGGCTATATGGGACCAAATTGAAGGTCCAATTGTCAGTAAATGAAAACGGGCTGTGTAGTTGAGGGAACTGCGTTGTGGAGATGTATGCCCGGACTGAGGTTACATCTACGATTTCCACTTCATCCCCTTAGAATCTGGTCATTTTGGGCGACATGAACGCCGACTGCTCTTACCTTACCAAAAAGGGTCGGGACAACCTTCGTTTGAGAAGAGACAGTCGGTATAAATGGCGCATTACAGATGATATGGACACAACTGTATCCGTCCAGAAATGCGCCTACGACAGGTTAGTTGCTGTTCTGTAATCCACCTGCAAGAAACTAGTTCAGATAAG